AAACCCTTGCAGATATTTAACAAAAATCACCGTATACTCATTTCTGCTCGCCACTGTGTGTATGTACATACATACTATATACAGATCTAAATACAAGCATACGTACATAGTACTTACATACCAACATATATTATAAAATCATCCAAACCGACCTATAAAAAAGTTAGATATATGACTGTTATTGTTTTTTTTTGTTGAGGTAGACTTTTCGCTGGAATCGCCCATATGTACTAGTATATTGCATTAATTCTCGCAGAGCATCCTCTTCGGCACGCTCGTATGCAAATGAAGCTCTACAAATGGCAATCATTTTTCGCCGTTAATTAACTTATGAACACAACTAATTTAATATCTATTTTTATCTGTTATGAAAATGTGTCAACTCTTAAGATCCTTAATTTCACATACATATGTACATACAACTTCCTTTGATTGCTTTCAGTTTGCAATGAGCCGTCTTCTCGAGCAGCCCAGCATTGCGATGTCCCTTAAGTCGTCGTCAGGTAGTCAATTATCTTCGGGTGCTGCAGTTGGCGGCAATGCAACTGGATTAAACGTCAGTACCACAGAGGCTGCAGTACAAAGCCAAACAGAAGCGAATACCAAACAATTAACGGTAACCAGCGCAACGGCGAATAATAATGGTGAGTAACATATGCACATACATACATACATACATATATATAGTAGAATAGAAATCTTACTATTCAGTACGGCACCTCACCACCCACTCTTTTTTCACAGCCAACACAATTTTCGATGAAGTTTTCATTAGTTTAGTTTCCGGTTCAGCCGCTGGAGCTTTAGCGAAAACCACTATTGCACCGCTGGATCGCACGAAAATCAACTTTCAAATTAGGTAAGCTGTGAAAATATTAAAACAAAGAATTAGCGTGTTTCCTTACGCCAGGATTTACATAGTTGTAAATAGTCAGTATATTCAATACTATCCTTCGGATTAAATTTGACCAATTTCTAACTACATAAATTCTGGAGTACTGTAACAGACCATCTAGTATGGAAACATAAAATTAATCCTTGATTTAATTAAATTTTTCACAGTAAAAATGTTCCCTACTCATTCAAGGCTGCGGTAAACTTTTTGAGAAATACCTACGAAAAAGAGGGTATCTTGGCGTTATGGCGCGGCAATTCGGCTACAATGGCGCGCATTGTGCCTTATGCAGCCATACAGTTTACGGCACATGAACAATGGCGGAAAATACTACAAGTGGATAAGGACGGCAGCGAGTAAGTTATGGGGATTGACAGTATTTAGATGTACCTATACTTACGTATTATGTATATGTACTCCGAAAGTATTGCAATAATAATTTTTTGAATTATTTGAAAGATCTTTAGGAGCATTCCATCGTTGAGACGGAACTAGTCGTACACGTTTTATAAATTTAGATGTTCGCTTAATTATGTATAATTTTTGCATGTCACTTTACGCCAATTCACTGATAATTCGTGAAGTTCCTCCGGGTGTATGATTTGTTGATGTCCGGAGATGAAAATGATTGATAACGGCTATTTAATTTTTGTTTAATTAGAAGATCGATTTCTATGTCAATTTATATACATATTTAAAAAAGAATTTCCGCTGAAAGGAAAATCCATTTACATTTCTGTTGAAAAATTCATCCGGAAAAGTAACTAGTTTGGCTTTTTTCTTGGAATGCTCGTTTAGATAACTTAAAATAATAATTTTACTTCCACACTTACATAGATATATTTTTTTTTTCTCACAGCACTAAAGGCAGACGTTTTATAGCTGGATCCTTGGCTGGCATAACTTCTCAGTCGTTGACATACCCACTCGATTTGGCACGCGCCCGCATGGCTGTCACAGACAAATACACTGGCTATAAGTATGTTCTTTGCAAATTGTGTACTTAAGTACAAGCGCACAACTCTCCTTGGTTCATTTGTGGTTCCAAGCTATTTTGAATACCCGAGCGCACTTATGCACTT